GGGGGATTTTAGCATTTGTAAACTTGGAGGACTTTGGAGGTTACAAGGGTATCTTGATTTCTGGTTGCAGGCCGTAGAATAGTCAGATTGCATATTAATTGCCCCCCAGTCAATTCCCAAAAGTCACGTGATTAATCGTTGGCAATTTTCTGTTTCAGAAAGCAACAATACCTGTGTCAGCAGTCCTTGTCGTAATGGAGCCACTTGTATCGATACAGATTATGGCTACAACTGTACCTGTCCTTATGGATACACTGGTAGACGCTGTGAAACCGGTAGGTTTATGTTATTAATCATAAAATATCTGACGCTGATTGGCTGGCTAACGTGCTTATATCAAGGGACACAAACATGCGAAGAGCGCTCAAGATTTGGAGACAAGACGAACATCAAAATATGCGAGAAATGATTTTTTTTCCCCGATTTCGAATGCTGTCTGTTTCCGCTAAGGTATTTTAGGTCTTTAATATTTTCAGCTTTTTTAAATTTCGAGGTAATATTCCTGCAGGCATTTGGAATAGATAACGCATACCCATGGTCAACTATAATGGCTTTCCTAAACTGAAAAATATATATGATATCAAAATTTAATGGTGGATGACGTCATACCCAATAATATGCTCTGGGTCATGTGACCATTTTCTTGCATCGCTTGACCTTTTTGATGCATACTTTAAGTAGTGGTACTCAAGGATCCTTAATATGGTTGATGTTTGTTTGTTTTAAAATCATCTTCTTAAAATCTATTTTGCACTATAAATGTTTGACTTGTATAAAGTCATTATCTTTGCTCCATGATTCCTAGCGAGGTTCAAGGTCGGGTCATATGCTTGTCTGATATGACAACATTTTTGTTAGTTGCAGTTGCCAAGGCGACCAACTGCTGGCACACAGCTGTTAGCATTCATTACACAGTTGGACCATCTACCATCACAGTTACACAAAGCGATGCTAACAGTATCATGACCGAGGTACATTTAGTAACTCTATTGTCGAGAGATTTCTACTTCTCCTCCTCTTTATTATCTTGTGCCTTTATTTAGAGAGTGTCACGTGACAGTCAAGCACTGACAAATGTGTCCTTTGTTTAGCATCTCTAAATGAGATCAATTGGGCCGCCATTTTACGTTGTCATGCAAACCAGTAATTTGTGGAAATATAAAATTAGATGAATTTTGGCCAAGACTTATTCTGGAATATCAGCTTCTGCTTAAAGTGGACATCAAATCCAAACATCTATATATGCTTTCCGTAATAGGTACTGAATCATGGTACCAGTCAACTCTTGTGCTCAGGTCTAASACTCAAGTTACTCAAGGTTACCATAGCATCCCCAGCCAATCGTTACGTCATTACAGGAAGCTTTGGGGTCATGTATGGTGAAATGAATTCGACTCAGAAACAGACTGCTTCGTCCTGTCTTGGGAATGCTGCGATATTTATGGCTATAATCCTCAGGCCTGACTATTATACTAGTCCCTTGAAAGGAACATATTGGGCAGATCGTGCCTCGTTAACAAATTACAAGGACAGTACTTGCTGTAGAGATGGGTTGGTCTCGTTTAATGAAACATGTGGTATGTGTGTTCTTTTCCAAGATGTCAAAATGTTTTTTCTTTCCTCTTCCTTATACCTCTTCCTTTTCACCTTTTTTATTTGTGTGATTTGTCAACGATTTGAAATCATTCTTTGCGAAAAAACTTGAAAATCACACTGTGACCTTGACGTTACTTTGGCAGCGCCAGGTTGCTAGGTTGGCATCACGAAAACCGAGAAAAGAATAAACTTTGTTGTTAACTTCTATGTTAATTCAATCCAAAGCAATGTTGGATCAATGTTGGTCGACCAGGTGTACCTTGATGGTGCCTTCCTTATGAATTATGAATGATTTGAGAAAGGGGAGGGGGGG